GGAATAAACGGGGAAATAACCTACCCCCGCCCCGCCCCGCCTTAAACGGGGAACGGGGTGGGGATGGGGAATGAATTTCTTAACGGGGCGGGGGACGGAGAGGGCATCCCCGCCCCGCCCCGCCCCGTTGCCATCCCTATGAGAAGATATACACAATAACAGTCTAAATGTGAGATAAGATTATCCAGCATTATCCATTCTTGATCTATCTAAACAACCCGCAAGATGGTGGCTTGTTTAAAAACATTAATCTTGGAATACTACTTCTCGTTCAAGCTTTTATATTTACCATTACAATAAGTAATTCTATAAATGACGTGTTCGCTTGTGTATATTTTGAAACAAAAGTATTGGAAGAAGGTAATAAACAGAAGAGGGAGAATTCAAGGATCAAGAAGATCAAACGATGGTGGAAGAATGCCTTGGTCATTTTCAACTGGTTTCCACAAGCCAACAAGTACAACTCGACCACCCCGGAGTATAACAGTTGCAATGATTTTGATCGGCAGGTCCATCACGTGCACCACCGCACTGGATCCGTTACACGCTATCGAACCACTAGCCTGCTGTCATTTGGAACACTTGCCGGAACTTTGACTATGAATGAGGTGGGGATCCCCTACATTAGCCTCAGGGAGCTTAACATGGATCAATAGAATGAGGTCTCAACCACTGCCATGCCCATATTTTTGTAACTTAATGTGATAAACTGGCTTCTTAGCTGAGGGATTTGATTCTTAAACTCGGTCAGATCTCCATTAATCCAAATTATCCAATGGAATTAACAAACTTTTGATTACTGAATTCTTCTTTAGCGCGACATTTATATTTCCATGCTATTGTTGCTTGTTGAAAGTATAGTAAATTCAATGGTTGGTTCAGGGGGTCGACACCAGAAAGCACTACACAAAAGCATCGTTATGCCATAATAACATCATTTTTTGCGAAAAGGTGACTGTACAAACTTTCTGGATAATCTTTATGAAACTCAAAGGTTCAAAACCTTCAACTCTTTTCAGAGACAATTGGCATCACATCAGGAGAAGATTCTTGATGCTGATCAATGGAAGTTTGAGAAGAACTCTGCACGATATGGTCAGATTCTCGACTTCAAGACCATTGGAGTGACCTGAAATTTATAGATGAGGTTGTTACCGTCCAACTTTACATGCTGATACTCACTATTTCAGTAGTCATGCCGTTGATGTTTTCCCAGCCTTCAATTTATTTTCCTCTTTTTTTCCCCTTTTTTCTGTACCATTCATACGTCTATAAAACTTTTAAGAATATTTGAAGAAATACAATTTCTATTATTCATCTCTCAGTATTAGGGTAATTCTTCGACTGCACGATTACTTGCATGGATTAGTAGTTCCCAAGTTATTGAAACGAGTACTTCTCATAGATGTTCGTTTTCTGGCTGCTAAACCGAACAAACATCTGCGATCCGTTTCATATTCTCAGGCAAGTCCACACATGGCTGAAAACCATAAAAAATGAGACATCTAAGCCAACTTACAGTTAGTTTAGATGAACTTTGGACCTTGGAGAGCTCAATATCTGGGGCCTTCTGCCTCCTCTTTTCATGAATGAGAACGAGTGCACATTTGCACATGAAGTACAGAAGTAGCACACCAAGAGAAAATACCACAATCGATTCAACCACAATTGCTGATCCTAAAACTGTACCACAAAACAAAGCTAACATTAATTCTTGTATTATTCCTTTTAGGTTGGCTACGAAACAATATTCAGCATTGGTTAGACAATTTAGCAAACAAAATTGCAAAGTATATGCATCAAAACTAATAAAATGTAAATGCTGTAAAAGTTCCACAAACACTTGAAATCTAAAGAGTGGTGATCCTTGTATCTTACAATGAGCTGCCAATGGACTAATTGGTCTTCGTCTTATGATACTTATTTTAGACTCGGCAAGAAGAGGCATTGACATCATCTCTGTACAGTCAGGGTAGCATCCGTAGTTTCCCAAATCATTTACTTTGACTGTTAAGACAGCATTATGTTCACCATCCTGTCGAGGAAAAATGTTAATTCTATCATATAACACTATATTATGTACGAGCAAGTTGTTTCAACCGAAGAACAAGTTAGATCGATAGCCATGTTATTATTAAGTAAATTTCTTTATGCAAGACAATGAAGAGTGCTAGTAAACTCACATGGTATAACAGTTGTTCCATAATACTGTTGCAGTCATTAATTGTACCTCGGATTCGGATACCCTTTGCTTTAACCACAAAATGCTTCGAGATGGTAACAAATGTTTGAAGAGGTTGCCACTGATAACTTGACTTCAACTTTAATTCGGTTGAACTAATGAGATCTGCTGGAAGGTTCGTTGACAAAAGTCCAGAGCTCACTTCCAAGGAGAAAACGACCAAAAAGCGTGACCAGTTGCCTAAAGATCACTTGATTATCAGGTACTATATATATTCTCAAAGTTCAACAAGCATTTACGCATGTATTTTACATATATTATTTTCGAATCCTTCTACTCTATCTATTCTTAAACATACCAGGAAAATTCATCAGGTCTGGATCTCGGATGAAGTCAAATTTCTCTCTCTGTCTACCAAAGATAGGTGCCTCATCATTCTTTTCATCCAGGATAACGAATGAGGGTAAATTAATAAAAGGTGGATCGTTGATTGGTTGCACATAAACCGGAACATTTAAATCATTCTTTCCATTTTTGTTGATTGTAGAAATTCGGAGTGTATCAGCACCATAGAAGTTCTCCTTTCTAATCCAAAGACAAGCAAATATAGCAAGTTAGAAACATGCTTTATAGTCAAAAGAAGGTATTTTGTAAGCCTACATAGATGTATGAAGTTATGAACTATCACAAACACGCGTGTTTATATACCATGCCATTCGAATAGGAAAACGATGAGTTCAGTTAGTTGTACCCGAAGTATTGGATTGACTGAAGAGCAAAGTTGATCACATCAACACAGCCTACTAAAGTTATTTCTTTATCCATTCCAATGTCTTTGCTGATAGAAAATTCATTCCATCTTGGATGCCAAAATTGCATTGGCATAGGAGAAAGCAGAAGTTCTCCAGACAGTGAACTGAAAGTAACAGTGATATTTTCTTCCAAATCCGAGTAAACAATTTCAAATCCCAAGAAACCGCTGCATAGAGACCAAAAAACCAATAGCATTTGGATATATTCCCGCTCGTATATTTTAAGTAATATAGAATAACATAAGAGTATAAATAGCATCTTACCCGAACTTGGGACTGACCACATCTTCTGTAGCTTGCAATTGACTTGGAATGGAAACAAACCGAGGTGGTATGCAGAGAACAAATAAATTTACAGCACCCGAAGCAACATTTCCATTTATATCAGCTATTGTATACAAGAAACAATCATTTCCGTAAAATCCTTTACATGGTGTATATCTAAAGAGATGTCCATACTGTAAAAGTGAACCATGAGTGGGCTGCCAAGATGAGGTATATCAATGAAGGTTCCAGAAGAAAACTTCTCACTCAAACTTTGAAAGCAGCACATTTAACTGAAATCTGAAATCCTACATGCTCGTGTGATAGTACTAAACTACGATTTTTAATAAATTAGCGCATAACTGGTTTCCAAGAAATGGCATTCTATTTATTCCATTTGCACATATCCAAGGCAAAATCTCAACATCAAAGATAGTTATTCTAGCTGACAGAATAGGAAACAAGGATTTATTATGAACTCATAAATTAATTAAAATTTCCATTATTTACAAAAGAGGAACTCGAAGGTACAAGTTAATCCCCTTATATGTTCTTCAACACTGGCCGAATCCCTTATATTTTGCATATTGCTTACCTTTGAATATTCCACAATACTTGCATTGCCACCAGCAAAGTAATCATTTTCTAGAACGTTAAAAGCAACTGACTCATCCTCCCATACAGAAACTGTATCATTGTAGAGTTTAGGAAAATATTCACCTAAAACAGATGGGATTTCATTTAGTATTAGCAATATAAATTTGGTGCTGAGTGAGAAAACTGAGTTCAGATTTTTATAGTACAGACACGAATCAATTATTACACATGCACGTGCATTCAAAGCTCAGAACTTACCACTATACACATTCACCCCGAAGGGACATGGGATGAAACGGTTACCATCGTATGAAGTGCATAACTCATACGTGCCAACATCATTTGCCAGGTAGCTACCAGTATAAGATCCATCGTTATTATCAAGAAACGTCCACGTGGAAGAAGCAGATCTGTTAATTGAAGCAATCTCTAATTTCAACTTCGATTGTTGTAACAGGACAGGATTATGATACGAATCCATGAGTCGTACAACAATATCATTTTTAACCAGCTTTGACACTTTTGGTGCAAATTTCACAACCCCAGAGAGCAATAAATTAACCTTGCCTGCAGTCAATCAATGAACCTATCAAGAATCTTCAGGATCAAGACAATGAACAAAACCCCACAGTCCACCCTACCAAACATGACAATAGTAGTGGGATACATAATATTTAACATGCCAAGGACTTTTACCTGGACTTACTTCCTTTCTAATTGTATGTCCACCATTCAATGGAATGTTTCCACAAAATACACGAATTTCATATAGACCACTCTTCTTGGGTACATAAATGACATCGAAGGCACTAGCTTTCTGATTCCAGTTTCCAGCAGACTGCATCCAGAAACCCAATATTATCAGTAGTACTGTATCCTGTAGCACATAATATATACAAGGAATGTATAAGTATACTTACATCGTTCTTTGTGCTGAATATTGGAGCAGAATCAATTTGCATACGATTGATATCATTTACTCTACCAGTATATAAACTACCTGTAGGACAGATGCACCCTCCCACTTATAAATAACTGATGATAATTTTTTTAAACCAAGAATGGATAATCACACTTTTTACCATTGACAGTCTCCCTTATACGTATACTTGGCTGTATAATTTGGGAATCAAATTCATGCACAATTTGTACTTGAAGCCTTTCTAACTCAACAGGAGCAGGATATAGATAGGCATCTTTAAGAAACACAGAAAACTTCGCAGCACGGCCAGCAAAAGAATTATTTAGACCAGATCCATTGACAATGCTGTTCATTCCGTCGCAATAACCTATTTAAATTAATGCAAAGGATAAAAGATTTTAAACATATAACGTGAAATATAAATAAGACTAAAAGTGATCTTTGATTATTTGCTAATAATTCTGACTCTGCCTTGAGATAAACAACTTTTAGCATTTAAGCTGGTTTGAATGTATTTTATTATGATTATTTTAAACATGTATCGTCCACAAGTGACAGAAAATGGAAAATTGAAGAGTAGACAAGAGCACCTATATAAACAGTAAAATCATATGGCATATTGGAAATTAAAGTATTCTTCTCCTTATTAGATATCATGAGCATAAAGTTTCCTGGTTCCTCTAGGCTGAAAGAAAAAGATTGTATTCCCTGCCCAACATCTTTGAAGTTCAGATCCGCCACTGGCATGGATAAGTTCGTCCCTTTCTCAATAACTTCAATGTCAAATGCATAAAAACCCGAAACCAGATTTCCATATTGATCATGCTGGTGTATGAAAGCTTCCATCATAGAAAATAATTGGAAGGACTTTGTTTCAATGTCCCATTGAGCAATACAAGTGGAGACATCCAGTTCTCCTGTAAAGGAAGATTATGGAATTGTTTCACTGGGAAGGATGAAAAAAGCTCATCATATTAATTCTTTGCACAGAATAAATACATGTTTACAAAAAAAAAAAAAACCCCCGCAAAGCAGAAATGAGCTCAATAGAATGGAATTGCTAACAAAAATTCTGAATTTGGTTTTGTGCTCACATGAATCACCTGGATAAACCTTGAATGGTAATGGAGAGAGTTGAAATGTTTGGTTGTCGACTTCTACATGAAGAAAGAGGCTTCCGGCAGTGGCTGCAATAAACTCAATGCTAAGGTAGCCATACTGATTCCAACCTCTATTGGTCACGTTAAGCACACTTGCATTGGAACCATTTGAGCGAAATGCAGACAACGAGAAGTTATAGAAACGTAGTCCCTCGCTTGCAGAAGTGACATTGTTCCCAAATGCATCTTTAGCAAGTATCAAAAGTTCGGCTTTTGTTCCGGATATGAATTCGTCCTCTCCATCCTTCCACGACACAATTCCGGCTGCTGGATACATTTGACCTTCACAGTGACAGTATAGACATTACTGATGAAATACACGAGGATTGAAGTACAATGTGCATTTTCATAACTACAAGAGTATTTCTTAGCTACTTTAACTGGCTTAGAAATGCTATTTCTATTTTCTCGTGGTGAAGGTTCGTATCATTAAACTATATGTTACAAACCTATATTGCTGAAACCCGATATATTCATTTCTTTTATCGAATAGACAACAAAATACACTTTGAAAGGTCATTTTCATGGTTTATCTTAACATTGTTTGGCAATAATGGAGATATCTATGCTATTACGGCATCACTTTGTCATCACATTCAAAAATGTTCAATAACAATCAGAAACATCCTTGTACATTGTACAATGAGAAGTAAGTAGTATGTACAAGACTTTTGAGTAAATATGTGAAGGAAAATCCAATTACTGGCACGGTACCAATCCCAAAATAGGCAAACAGCATCATTGTGGAATGACAAATTGCAATTAACAGTTTTAGAAACACATTCTGATATGTTTATGGCACAAGTGACCAATTCATCTTCCAAAATCACATTAAGGAAATCTTATTCAAGTAGGAAAAAAACACAATAACTAAGCCTCGTTCATGGTAAATTAGGGCCGCCTTCATGAATCCTTTTTCACCAAATGTATTCGGTTCTTTACTAAATCTACTTGAAGATTATTAAAAAAAAAAAAAAAGCAAATAATTATGATAAAATAAAATTCAAACCTGGAGTAACTTGAAAATGCAGCGAAGAATCCAAAACATGAAAATGTTCATCAGTGATAAGCACATTGAACAAGCCAACCATAATAGGAGTAAATAAAATCCTCCAATTTCCAGTATCTGCAAAATCAAAACTTGAAGACACCCCAGAAATCAAAGAACTGTTGCCCATCTTATCATTCACCGTAATATTTGGATTAAATGGAAGTTTGTATTTTCCACTATCATAATTCCCAAGAACAATAACTTTAATTGTTGCAATTTCACCAGCCACGAATGTGTCATTGTTATTCAACCAACTGAATGCAAAATCAGGCATTTGTACACTATCTGCAACAAGAAAAGAAGAAGAAGAATGTTAAATGAACCTTCGTCCTAATAAACTCAATATTTTAATACAAATGTGTAAAACTGTGTGGGCTATGAATGGGCAGTTGAAATTGTGTACCTGATTTTGTAAGTTGAAGAGTAAGAGAAATGGTGAAGAAAATGACGAGTAATGAATTGTAGAACAGGATTTGGATTGCCATTTTCTTGAAGATCGTGAATTCAATGAAGGGAAGTAGAGAATTTTCTTGGTGGATTATGAAACTGAAGTGGGCAAATTTGAAGCGGGAGAAGTTTGAATACAGTAACTGCTATAGGAAGAAAGGCGGGTAATTAGCAGAAATGGTCCTCAACGTTTACACCCTTTGCTAAAATGGTCCCTATCGTTTTAAAATTGGTATTTATACCCTTATTTCAAACGTTTCTTGCGGAATTAGTCATTCCATTCATAAACCGCTAAACATCCGTTAAAACCTTTTGATAATTTGCAGAAATGGTTTCTATGGAATATAATTTAATATAATTTTGGAACAGCTT